ATGCCAACGATAAAACATTTTGTACATATTTTCTTTAAGTGCTGCTGATTGTTAGTTTATAATTTGTGTTTCAAATTCTTTCCCAATATAATCTGTAACCAAAGTTTTTGGCCCACGCTATCCTTGAGCTCCTTTCATGGCACGTTGAACCAATTTGGCAACGGGGTTTTGCCTGCTGCTGACCGACAGAATGAATCATCCGACTTTTCTTTAGAATGCCCCAGTAAATAATTTTTTAAAAAAATTCTCTCTATAGGAACTCAAGGCCTGTGAGCTGGATCCGGCCTGTGGGGTGCTTAGATTACAGATTATATCTGGCCCATGGAGCTGCCCTGGAAACAGCGAAGGACCAGCCCGTGGTGCCTCTTCCAGCGGAGCTCCCTTTCCGCTGGCAGAGGGTTGAAGGAGCCTCTGTCGCAGCCAGGAAATGGAGTTCGGGAGCCCATTTTCGCTGGCAAAGCGCTTGGGCCCCCAACACAAGTGATGTTGAGTTGGCCACTCCCCCCCCCGGCCCTCTCCCCCCTCCGGGGTCAAACACAACCCTAATGCGACCCTCAATGAAATCCGAGTTTGATACCCCGGCTCTACGGTAATGCAGCTAGTTTGGACTAAGGCAAGGCAACTGACTCAGAAGTAGTTCAATAACTCTGGGATTGATGATGTAGAAGAGCCGGTAAAGCTGGAGGGTGGCGTTAAGCAAGTCATCAGTTTAGAATCATTACATTCCCACAAATGGTCCCAAGTCTAATCCTTCTTGAATTCAGTGGACCCTTTTCAGGCTCCCAACTCAGTACAGGTAGTCTTCGACTTACAACAGGGACCATTCAAAGCTGCAATTTCCCCCAGTTATGACCTTTGTAGCATACCCATGATCGAGCGAACATCATTGTATGAAATTCAATGCTTGGTTCATACTTATGACCGCTGCTGTGTCCCAAGATCACGGGATCCTAACTGATGAACGTCAAGTGATTCCCTGAACAACTGCGGCAAGGAAGGTTGTAAAATGAGGCAAAACTCACTTAATATCTCACTTAACAACATACATCTCGGGCTTAATTGTAAGTTGGGGATCACCTGTATTGACCTTTAGTTCACCAGGTTCTTTTGCAAAGGTTTGAGCAATAAATCTTAACTGCAACCTAACATGGAATCCTGATACTTTATGAGGGATTGAGTCGCAGGTTCAAGTACCATATTTTTCCATCTAGAAGACGCCTCCATGTTTCATGTAGAGCAGTGTTGGCTAACCTTTCTGTTTTGGGGTTCCAAAAATGTGAGTGTGCACGTATGACAGCCCGTGCTTGCACCCATAATGCAAAGTGTGCACCCAAGTGCGCATACATGCACAAACACACACACCCCTGGGCGGGCTGCACTGCCGATGTGCTGCTTGTCGCCAAGCTGACCTTAATATTTCCTCCGGAGAGCCGGGGAAGGCCACTTTCGCCCTCCCCAGGCTGCAGGAAAGTCTCCAGAGCTTGGGGAGGGTGAAAAACGGGAGTTTAGAAACAGACCGTTTACGTCCTCCCCCACCCCCTGGAAGCTAGAAATGGTCTGTTTCCGACCTTTCGGTAGGCCCGTTTTACACCCTTCCCAAGCTCCGGAGGCTTTCTTGGAGCCTGGAGAGGGTGAAAACGGCCTCCCCCCAGCTCTCCGGAGAGGCCAAAAATCAGCTGGATGGCGTGTGCATGTGTGCCGGAGTTGACATAGGGCAATGGCTTGCATGCCCGCAGAGATGGCCATGGGTTTGCCATCGCAGATGTAAAGTGAGTGAGTAAGCACACTACAAGCCACCCCTGTGCAGAAGCCATCTTATTAGAGAGAGAGAGTAATACAAGAACAGAAAATGCATCACAGGAACAATAGAGATGAAACCTAGAGGGGCAATGTGACACAGGAAACAACGGCAACAGAGAGGAATGACAGAGCTGCATATGATGTAGAGGCTCGTCGGGCATGTGCGGCACAGCAGGAGGATGGGGACGGCCACGCCTTCTCCCCTCGTCCTCCTGTGTATAAGACGCCCCCCCATTTCCAAGCAAATATTTTAAAGGAAAAGTAGCGTCTTCTACACAATAAAATACGGTACCTCTCCTGACCCAGCTTCTCCAAATAAAGAGAGCGGGATCCAAAGCAGGCCCACAAGATTACCTCTGCTGCTTCTCTCGGCGCACCATCTCCTTCAGCTTGAAGGCAGCCTCACAACGTCGCCGCCGCCGATCCCCCCGCTCCGCCGCCTCCATCTTCAGTTGCTCGCGCTTGTAGCTCCGCTGGAAGGCCGTGATTAGTCGCCGCAAACGGGCGGTGAGCGCAGAGGCTGGAGGCCAGAAAAGATTCCCTGGCTGACCTAGAGAATGATGACAGGGACGGCGGTGTGACTTGTGCATCCTCCA